TGAAAATACAGATTACCATGGTAACATTTAAGTTGACGCACAAGAATTATAATTTTTATTCAAAACCTATTCACAGTTGTTCTACACGTTCTGACATAAGGTTAGTCAGTTATTTTGCGGTAAGACATAATTATTTCGTCCTCGAATATACTTCTAACAACGTATTCAGACGATTCACAGTTGGAGGTCAATTAATCTCGAGTAACAAATTCAAACAAACTTAAATCACTGACTAATATGCTCCTATGCTCGGGTTTGGGCAGGGAAGGAGGACGGGGGAGGGGGTAGAGAAAATATATGTCAGGCCGCTGATTAAAAAAACCCATCCTTCGATTGTCGTTTCTCTTTCTTTATCTATCGCCTGGGCCTCGGGTGAACTGCTGAACGCGATACACCCCGACAAATAAATTCCATTTTTCCTTTCCCAGTGGTCTACCTATCATCGTAAAACTCCACTGAAAATAATACAAACAAAACGACCTGCTAAAACATGTTTAAATGCTGTTCTTCTAATTAATTAATTCATTCATTCATTTTCCTTTTCCCTACTTTAGTTTCATTGCCGAAAAGAATTCCTTTGGCGTCAACTTAAGCACGCCTGACTGCAGCTGTTCACTGCTAACCATACATTAATAGTGAAAATTGCACATAATAGACTACTGTGCTATACACAATAAAAACTACCTATAAGAGCCCGCTTTCCATGAAGCAGTTTTCAACTGAGTATCTTGAAACCAGAACTTAAGAATTCGCTCTGGCCTATCACAAAGCATACAGACAATCCAATGAACCAATCAAACCGCGAAGCAAACACACTCGCTGACGCGAAGCGCGGGAAAACGTTTGCGTGCGAGTAATGATTGGTTTTGGTTTTACTTTTGATTGGATGACGATGTGGCTCGAGTTTTTTTAAGCCATTCGCTTAGCGTTCTAATGCAAAAGCAAAGCAAATGCAATTAATTTCGACACTCTAGTGAAAGCTGCTCTGTATGAATCTGGTAATAAACGCTTCAGTCTGGCTACCTGACTC